CATACACTTCAACTTTCTATCAGTTCTAGTTCTTAGTTTGTCTCTAAATTGTTGTTGTCCTTATTTTCTTTGCACAAGGAGGCACGGTATGTCTACCTATGCCTCCATCTTCGCCAGAAGTTGGTTTAACTTCTTTACAGGAATAACTGTTGAAGTTCTTTTCCCATTTTTTAATTGGGTTGTTTGGTTTTTGTTGTTAAGTTGTAGGATATTTTTACATATATTCTGGATATTAATCCCTTATCAGATATATGATTCGCAAATACTTCCTCTTTATTTCATGGTTTGCATTTTCAGTCCGTTGCTGGTGTTCTTCATAGCACAAAATTTTAAATTTTGATTAAGTCCGATTTATCTTTTTGTTGTTGTTTTTGTGGCCTGTGCTTTTGTGGTTATAACCCCAAAATCATTGCCGAATACAATGTTATGAAACATTTCCCTTATGTTTTTTCCAAGAGTTTTATAGTTCTAACTCTTATGTTTAAATCTTCAATCCATTTAAGTTAATTTTTGTACATGATGTAAGGTAAGACTCTATCTTCATTCTTTTGCATGTGGGTATCCAGTTTTCCCAGCACTATTAGTTGAAGAGGCTGTCCTTATTCCAGTAAATGGTATTGGCACCCTTGTCAAAAATTATTTAACCATGTATATTAAAGTTTATTTCTGGACTATCTGTTATATACCATTGGTCTATAGGTCTGTCCTTGTTCCAGTAGCACACTGTTTTGATTACCATACCTTTGTAGTAAGTTTTGAAATCAGGAAGAATGAGACATCCAATTTTGTTCTTCTTTTTCTAGATTATTTTGGCCATTTGTGGTCTCATGAAATTTCACATGACTTTTAGGATGGGTCTTTATATTTCTGTGAAAAAAAATCTTGTGATTGCATTGAATCTGTAGATTGCTTTAGGAGAAAGTGTTTTTAAAAATTATTTTCACAAGTGATTGTGTTGTTTAACTCTTGTGTTTTACATGCTTGTACAAAGCACACTGTTTAATAAAGGTAAAGACAATAATAAGGATAAAAATCTGAACAACAATGTTTTAGATGGAAAGTCAGAGATCTTGGGCTCTGCAATATGGTTATAGATGCAGACTTTGTTCTTTTGCAACTCATTTGCATGTATTGTGTTGGTTTGCATCTGCTCTGTGACTCAAAAGACCTTTGAGATGCCTCAAAATGACTTAAAAGCCATTGGGAATTTTGATATTAGATGTAAATCTATAGGGCTATATGAAGAGACTTCATAGGAAAGCTTATTAATGGCTCATAATCTTGGTAATCAGTCACTCGATTTCATTAAAAACAAAGAAAATAAAATGGCCATATGTTTATTGACCTAATGATATGTCTGCTTTATCTAATGAAGCCATCTATAAAGTCTTGAGGACTATCTGGAAGAAATAGTTTAGAATGTTGAGAAGAAGTTTGAACAATGTGCTTCCCCCAAAGCTGAACTCAGCCATTCCAAACTTTCCATGGCTGGACAAGATATCTCCTGTTGACCATATTACTTTCTAATGACACCATGAATGTTTATAGCACCAACCTAAAGTTGAGAGGAGCCAGAAGGCAGCTGACACCCCCATCCTATTATCAGGCACTACTAAAACCTTACTTTTAGGAAATTCCTTACCTGTGTAACTGCTGTATCAAGTGGCTTTAAACAGCAAGCATTAATTACCTCACAATTTCTGGGGGTCAGGAACCTAGGAGAAGCTTAACTAGTTCTCCTGGTTCAGGGTTTCTCATGAGGCTGCAATCAAGGTACTAGTAAGGACTGTTGTTACCTCAAGACTCAACTGGGGAATAGTCTGCTTTCAAGCTACTTTGTTATAAGATTGTCATCCAGCAGGCCTTTAGTTAATATGTTTACACATAGACCATTGGAATGGAATCAAGAGCCCAGAAATAAACTCATGCATTTATAGTCAATTAATACTTGACAATGAAGCCAAGAATACTCAATGGAGAAAAAGACAATCCCTTCTTAGTAAATCTCTTCTTAATAAATGGTGTTGAGAAAATGGATATTCATATGCAAAAGAATGAAACTAGACTTCTATCTTACATTACCCCCAAATTTAACGTGAAATGGATTAAAAACTTAAATGTAAATCAAAACCATAAAACTTCTAGAAGAAAACATGGGTAAAAGCTCCTCAACATTGTTCTTGGCAATGACTTTTTAGATATGACACCTAAGGAACAAACAAGTAAAAATAAACAAGTAGGACAACATTAAACTAAAGGTTTCTTCACAGCCAAGGAATAAATCAACAAAATGAAAAGGCAACCAACAGAAAAGAAAATATATGTGTATCACATATTTGATAGTAGGTTAATACCCAAAATATATAAGGAACACATACAACTCAATAGAACAAAAACAGACAATCCAATTTGAAAATGGGGAAAGAACCTATATAGACATTTTTCTAAAGAAGATATTCAAGGGGCCAACAGGTATATGAAAAGGTGCTCAACATCACTAATCATCAGGGAAATGCAAGTGAAAACCACAATGAGCTATCACCTCAGACTGGTTAGGATGACTACTATTAAAAAGACAAGAGAAACAAGTGCTGGTGAGGATGTGGAGAAAAGGGAACCCGTGTACACCATTGGTAGGAATGTAAATTGATAGTCATTATGAAAAAAAAAGTATAAAATTTCCACAGAATTAAAAATAAAACTACTATATGATCTAGCAATTTGACTTCTGAGTTTATATCCAAAGAAAATGAAATCACTATCTTGAATGGGTGTTTTCACCCTCATGTTCATTGCAGCATTATTTACAATAGGCAAGACATGGATACAACTTAAGTGTATATTGTTGGATGAGTGGATTAAAAATGTAATGTATGTAAATATTATTAAACTATAAAAAAGGAATGCTGCTATTTGTGACAACATGGATGAATCCTGAGGGCATTATGCCAAGTGAAATAAGTCTGAAAAAGGAAAACAAGTACTGTTTTATCTCCTTTATACGCAGAATCTAAAGAAACTGAAATCATTGCAGCAGAGAACATATTGGTGGTTGCCAGAAGAAGCAGGTGGAGGGTTGGTAGAAATGGGTACAAATTTTAAGTTATAAGATAAATAAGTTGTAAGAATGTAATGTACAGCATAACTATAGTTAATACTGTATTACATATTTGAAAGTGGCTAAGAGTAGATTTTTAAAGTTCTCATTACAAGAAAAATGTTATAATTATATAAGATGATGGATGTTAACTAATCTTATTGTGGTAATCATTTGGCAATATATTTATTTGAGGTCTGTCTGGAAAAAGTCCACCCATTATTACTATAATGAGAATTGTTTGTGCAACACAGATGTGACCTGGCAGCCAAGGAGAGTGGACTGGAATGTGCATGCATGAACAATGACAACTTCACTGTGCCAGTCAGTGGGGGTGTAAGTACTATGTGGCTGTCACATTCAAAATGACTGAGCAAGTAGAGCAACAAATCTACATCAAATTCTGCATTAAGGTTGAACATTCTTCCGTGAAAACTATTTGGATGATTCAGAAGGCCACAGCTATGGGCAATTGGTGATGAGCAGCTTCATCATGACAACATACCTGCTCATGCATTATTTCTTGTGCAGAATTTTTGGGCAAAACATCAAATCACCCAGGTGACTCAGTCCCCCTATAGGTCATATTTGGCACTCTGTGACTTCTGGATTTTTCCAAAACTAAAATCACCTTTGAAATGGAAGAGATTTCAGACTGTCAATGAGATTCAAGAAAATATAACAGGACAGCTGTTGACAATTGGGAGAGCTGTGTGAGGTCCCAAAGTGCCTACTTTGAAGGGGACTGAGGCATCATTATCCTGTGTACAGTGTTTCTTGTATCTCGTATCTTCTTCAATAAATGTCTCCTTTTTTCATATTACATGGCTGGATAGCTTCTGGACAGAAGTTATATATCAAATTATTTTTATGTGCACCTTAAACTAATATAATGTTACATATCAATATAACTGGGTAAAATAAAAAAATAAACACTAAATTTCACTGGAAAAAATCAGAGGCTTAGAGGTGATTTTATACCTGACTTTGTTAGAGATGAGTCAAAAGTGAAGTTGCCAGCTTTATGTAATGGGCTTGAAATTTTTGTTCTTGCAGAAAAACACCATTTTAACTCTCAACACAGGGGTAAGAGCAGGCTGAAAAATCACATTGCCAAAAAGATTTTCTTTCTTTCTTTCTTTCTTCCTATCTTTCTTTCTTTCTTTCTTAGTTTTTTCCTTCTTTCTTTTTTTGTTAAAATAACTCAGCAAAATAAAATTCTGGTTTATTGTTGAACAACACTGTTTCACACATACATCAAACAGGCCAAATAAATAAATAAATAAATAAACAGCAAATTCATAGACCAAAAAAAAAGGGATAAAAACAACCTTTTATCTTTGGCCATTTTAACCATCTCGCACAAACCAACTACTTATAGTACAGCTAAGTACATACACAAAAAGGTACTGGAATGCTTGGAATAAGATTGTTATTTTGCTGTTGTTTTTGCTTTCGTTTACAAGGGTTTTTTTCTCCTTTGAGATTATAGTGAACATGGTCACACCACAAGTAAAGTGGGAAGTAGGATAGAGAATGCTCCAAAGGCTCCAAAGGCTGGTTTGGTCATTCCAAGATCATTAAAAATGGCTGACCCCTAACAATATGTACAAAAATATAAATTGCAGATAAAAGTACAAACCAATTTTCCTTTTTAAAGTACTTTTAAGAAAAAAGCAGGGCCTTGGAAGTTTTGGGGTTTTGCCTCCACTGTTGCAAATTCACGTTGTGCTTTTGGTTGGGTGGTAAAGAGAGCACATGTCATCTGCAGGTGGCGCTGCCTGCCTGTGGGCAGGGGAAACTCGCTACTCCAAGATGACCATGTTTAGATTCTGAGACGGGAAGTGTAGGGTGAATAGGTCATGGCAGCTTTTTTTAAGTTTAACTTTTCCTTTTTTGCTGTCTATTCATCCTCATCAGTCTCCTTCTTCTTGGTGTCAACATCATCATCCTTGTCATCTTCAGCTGCCTGTTTGCCTGTAGCTGCCTCAGTCTCCTCATCTTCATCTCCATCCTCTTCCTCACTATCACCTTCCTCCTCCTCTGCTCCTCCTTCTTCCTTTTTTCCATCTACCTCCTTGTCAGCCTCCTGCTCCCCATTTTCCTTATTAGCGTTGCCATTAGCAGGTGCATCTCTTCCATTCTCTGCCTCCTCCACAATTTCCTTCTTCTCCTTTAAGTCCTTGGTGGTGATCTCGGAGCTGGCATCCAAGGCCGTGTCTGACATGGTGGGCATGCCAGTGATCCTATGCAGGGGATTTTTTAAAAAGAGGGAGTTCGAGGACTCTGGCAAAAATGCTGCGGAAGCCTGTGGCCACTGAAGAGGTGTGCGGTGGAGGTCGCCACAGTGAGTTGAGAGGCAGACACAGGAACAGTGGAAAGATGGCTTTTCAGAGCAGCCTGTTAGGTGAAGATTTTCAAAATTATCTTACTAAATAGAACAAATTCTTGCCCATCTGTCTTGCCCTAAACTAAAAGGGGAAGAATGGTCAGAATGACATCTTGATATTTTCTCTGGTTCCCAGGGTTCTAAGATACTATTGTTTAACCAATCTCTTCGGCAAGTGGTGGTGATGAGCTTAGGACTAGAAAACTTCAACTAGAGAGACTCAGTGCCCCTGGAGCAACTCCTGAACACAATCTGTAACATTTGAAATCAATCATTCATGAAGGGCAAGGCCAACTGTGAGGTAGAAAATAGCAAGTGGACACCTTGTGCCCATTTGTGGAGCCTTTTAAAGGAAGGAGATACTAAAAGGGTGCATTTACCACAGCATAATTATTCAGGCTGATAAGAGTAACAAAGGGACCACTGTTGGTAGGGTTGACAACCTGCAAGTGGGGGCTTAGAGCTGGATTTCCTCCAGTGTCTCAAGGCTGCTAAAAGATTGAATCATTAAGAGTTTATGGCCTCATGCAGCTCTTTTAAGCCAGTTCCATACTTGATGCTGGCCTCAACTTCAAGCTGCCACAGGTTCTTTTATCCCCCAGGAACTGTGGCTTGGGCAGAACAAGAGAGGCTGCTCTTTTGGAAGGAGAAGGGCCTGGGGCTTAAAGATGGAATTGCAAGAGAAAGGGTTTATCAAACCAAATGAGCTGCCTGTGGTGCTGCTGTCACTGCCATTGTTGCCACAAATGCTCATATGCTGTTGCTGTTCTCAAGCAACAGACTGCATGGGGTGTACTCACATCAAAAAGAAAGGCCTTGCTCTGAATAGCACAGAGTGGTACCAAGTAAGAAAATTCAATCCTAACCCCCCTTCTTGGACAGAAGTTGACTGAAGAGTGAGGAAGATAGGGCCTTTGAAGGGGTTAATTAGTCATTCAGAAGCAAAGCAAAGATTTACCTTTGACCTGAAGTATACCATATCAGAGGACCACTATGCCTTAGACCCAGAAACCTAAAGTCCTTGGCCTTTGTTCTTGAATGCTACCTTTTAAAAGTGTGTGGGACAAGCAGATATCTTAGGGAAAAATAATAAGTATGTCACTAAATCCCAGATATTTTAAGGCCATGGGTCCCCACTAGAAACTAATTTCCAATAATTCATTCAACAATTTTTGAATGCCTACTATATGCCAGGAACTGTCTTAGACCAGTTGAACATAACAGTAAACATGGCAGACAAATATTTCTACCCTCATGGAGCTTATACTATAATGGGGGGTTGACAGACCATAAAGAAGATAACTTATTAAATAAATACTGTGCCAAATGATGGTTAATGCTATAAAGAAAAGAAAAGCAGAGTTGGGAAGGATAGGAAGTATCAAGCTTGGCATTGGGGGTTCATGATTTCAGATGGGCCAGGGAAGATCTCATGGAGAAGGGTATATTTGAGCAGAGACTTGAAGAAAGTGAGGGGAAGAATCATGTGACTACCTATGTGAAGATATGTGCTAAGGCTTGGTATAGTTGAAGAACAGCAAGTATGCTAGTGCATTTGAAATGATGTGAAGAAAGAGTAGTGTGGTAAGAGTTGAGGCCGAAGAGGTAACAGGGGCCAAATGGTGAAGTGTATTACAAACTAAGGATTTGAATTTCATCATAAGTGACATGGGAAGCAATTGGAAAGTTTTCAGTAAAAGAGTAATATAATCTTATTTAGGTTTTAAAATAATGGTTCTGGTTGTTACTTAGAGTAGCCTATAAGACATCAAGGATGGAAGTGGGAAAATCATTGGGAAGGAGTTGTCACAATCTAGGCAAGAAAGTATGATGACTTGGGCCAGTGAGGTAGTGGTGGAAAGATGAGATGTGGTCAAGTTCTAATATATTTGGAAAGTAAGCTGACTAAATTTGTTGATGGATTGGATGTGGATGTGTAAAGAAGGAAAGTTAAAGATTAAAAATTACTGCTCAGCTATTATGGATCACTTGGAGCATTTCCCCATGCACTGAAAGGTCACAGGTTCGATTCCCAGTCAGAGCACCTGCCTAGGTTGCAGGTTCAAGCCCCAGATGGGGTACATGTGGGAGGCAACCAATGGATGTTCTCTCTTTCTCTCTCTCTCTCCCTTCTGATTGCAAGGCTTTAGGCCTAAGCAATCAGAAGGATCAAATTGCCAGCAACCAAGATAGAAAAGACACATAGATAAGCAAATTTGAGAGGTGGGAAGACAGCAGAGTTTGATAATTAATGAATTTGGATTTGCTCAGGTCTTGAGGCACGTTAAAAAAAAAGGTAGCAAAGAAGAGCAAAGTAGGAGCAATCACAATACCTGATACCAAACTGTATTACAAGGCCACAGTAATCGAAACAGCCTGGTACTGGCATAAAAACAGGCACATGGACCAATGGAACAGAACAGAGAGCCCAGAAATACACCCAAGTCTCTATGGTCAATTAATACTCAACAAAGGGGGCAGCAACATAAAATGGAGTAACAATGGCCTCTTCAACAAATGGTGTTGGGAGAACTGGTCAGCTACATGCAAAAAAATGAAACTCGAGCACCAACTTATACCATACACAAAAATAAATTCAAGGTGGATAAAATATTTAAATATAAGTCGTGACACCATTAAAGTCCTAAAGGAGAACATAGGCAGGAAAATCTCAGATATTCCATGCAGCAACATTTTTACTGATATGTCCCCTAGAGCAAGGGACATAAAGGAAAGAATAAACAAATGGGATCTCATCAAATTAAAAAGTTTCTGCATGGCTAAAGAAAACAGTATTAAAATAGAAAGAGAACCAACCATATGGGAAAACATATTTGCCAATGACACCTCAGACAAGGGCTTAATCTCCAAAATACATAAAGAACTCACATGACTCCACTCTAAGAAGACAAGCAACCCAATTAAGAAATGGGCAAAGGACTTGAACAGACACTTCTCCAAGGAGGGCATACAGAGGATCCAGAGACACATAAAAAGATGCTCAGTATCACTAGCTATCAGAGAGATGCAAATTAAAACCACAATGAGATACCACTTCACACCAGTCAGAATGGTCACCATAAAAAAAGCAACAAACAACAAGTGTTGGAGAGGTTATGGAGCAAAGGGAACCCTTGTGCACTGTGCACTGTTGGTGGGATTGCAGACTGGTACAACCACTATGAAGAACAGTATGGAATTTTCTCAGAAAACTAAAAATGGATCTTCCTTTTGACCCAGCAGTTCCACTGCTAGGATTATATCCTTAGAACCCTGAAATACCAATCCAAAAGAACCTGTGCACCCCAATGTTCATAGCAGCACAATTTACAATAACCAAGTGTTGGAAGCAACCTAGGGCCCCATCAGTAAATGAATGGATCAAAAAACTATGGTACATTTACACAATGGAATTCTATGCAGCAGAAAGAAAGGAGGAGCTCCTACCCTTTGCAACAGCATGGATGGAACTGGTAAGCATTATGCTAAGTGAAATAAGCCAGGCAGTGAAAGACAAATAGCATATGATCTCACCTTTAAGAGGAACCTAAACAACAAAACAAAGAAACAAGCAAAATATAACTTAAGACACTGAAATAGAGAACAGGCTGACAAGAGGGGAGAGGGGAGGGAACTTCAGGGGAAAAGGGGAAGGGTTTACAGGAACAAGTATAAAGGACACATGGACAAAAACTAGGGGCATTGGAAATGGGAGGGAGATGGGGAGGGCTGGGGGTTTGGCTGGGATGGGAGTAAAAGACAGAAAACTGTACTTGAACAACAATTAAATAAAAAAATAAAAATAAAATAAAGTTTTGACTGACAATGAAAAAAAAAGGTAGCAGCTGGTGGCTGCACTGGATAGGCCATGGAAAAAATGGATTGGAAAAACTTCAATATAGCCTTAGCTAGAGCTGGTTGGTGGTGTTTTGAGGAAACTGACCCTGTTAGACCTGAGCTTCCCTTCTTCTGCATCTCCCTTCTGCCCAAAACTCAGTGTCTGCACTGCCCCATTCAGTTCTACCCTGCTTGGTCAGTCCCTGATGTCTAGTCTAAGCATTAATAAACATTCTGTAAAGGGCTGGGTAATAAATATTTTAGGCTTTGTGTGCCAATTAGCCTCTCTTGCAGCCACTTAACTCTGCCACTGTAATACATATATATATATATGTGTGTGTGTATATATATATGTATATATGTATATATGTATATATATGTATATATACATATATATGTATATATATATATATGTGTGTGTGTGTGTGTATATATATATATAAGTAGTCATAGGCAATATATAAATAAATGAGCATGGTTGTGTTCCAATAAAACTCTATTTTCAAAGTGGACCATGACCTTATTCGGCTCATGAGCTGTAGTTTGCCATCTCCTGCTCTAGAACTGTGATGAGCTACTCACAGAAACACAGGCCTCATGACCAACCAATGCTGTGAAACACTTATAATCTAATTTCAAGGTGATACATTAGAAAGGCATCTTTCAGTAACCATCCCTCAAACATAGCTACATATTAATGTTTAAGTACAGAACCAAAGCTCTCATTGGTAACTATTTACTCTATAAAGTGAATAATCCAAGTTGGTACTAAATAAAACTCTCTTCATTTAAAGTATGTAAAAATAAAGGTAGCTCATGAGCATTTTATTTTTTTCTCAATTGGCCTTCATTTTTTAAAAATTACTGGCAACTGTCCTAGGACTATCTCTCTTCTCCCCAAGCCAACCAAGTGGTCCCAAGTTTTGTCCTCTGCAGGGCCCTGCCAGATGACTAATCTTGTTATAAATTGTTAACGGCTCTTACTTCCCAGAAATTTTACAATTCAACCCTA